CTCTCCACTGCCTGATCTTGCATTTCTATACTATTTGGAGTTTCTACTGCTTGTGTTTTTAATCATCTCAGTGTGCCTGTGGAACTCACAGTTATTCCTTCTTTTTAATAAAAATTTATCACACAATTTGACAATGCAGAGAGTTCTGGATAGTGGGGTTAAAAGAAATACCGGAAGTAAAAGTGCATCGTTGTTTTTGGCCAAAAGACTTGAGAGATGGGCAAATGGTTTTGAGTATGCGGCTTTAGAAGTGAAGGATCATTTGGAGAGCCTGACTTTGGCTGACGTAGTTTCTGAAGTAAAGATATGGTGAGTTTATTTATTGCTTATCATTTTTTCGTGAACTCACACTTTTGCATTTCCCTATCAGTCGTAACATTCCAAATTGTTTGATAATATCTCTAATTATGCTTACTGCCGAAATCAGCTTCTCGAGCAAGACAGGAAAACGCAGCACTGCAGGTCCATGGGCTTGCCATTTTCATATAGACAAGGTGAGTTGAGTATAATGAATGTATAGTACTTTATTCAATGTTTTAAGTATGTTAATTCGAAACTACTTTTTGATCGTTCAGGAAGTTGCCAAGAAGAAGCGGCTGAAATTGAGCTCGGTCATCGATGCCCTTAATATGAACAGAAAATCAAGTGGGGTAAAATGGAAAATAGATCTTCCCCTGCATATTACGAGCAAGTAAGAATTTTCTCTCTGAAGGACTTCCCAAATTTGACAGAACTAACAAAATTTTCAATTTGAAACAAAAAAGGGAAAAAAAAAGAACAAAGCATGAATAAATTGTGCTTGCATGTGAATCAATTATTTAGTTGTTTTGAGCTCCAATCACTCTTATATTCCAATGACTTCGCCTTATGATTTTGCTTCTTCATGGGCAGGGCTTGTTCTGAAATTGATGACCATAGAAGCCTCGATTCAATTATTTGCGTTACGGCTGCACTTTCCGAGAGCTTCAATGAATTCTCTGACCTGGATGTTCTTCGTGACATGGTTGAACCTGCCCTTCTGAAGACAGTGATAAAAGGTTTCAACTTCCATTGGATCTCATCAAATTCATTAAGCATTCTTTTTATTTTTATCTCTTTAGTTCCGTTTGTTTCTTTTCTTTCTCCTTTCTGAGAGAAATGAACTTTCGGTATTTATAAATTATGCATCATAAATAATCAACTTTATACTTTTTTTTTTTCAGGATTTCAGGAATTTAAAAAGGTCGATATTTTGTGGAAAGATGATCAAAATAATCCAAAATCTACAAGGCGGCGGTCTTCAGGGGAACTCTTTTTACGGGTTGTGATGTCAGATCTCTGTGATAGAACCAAGTTCTGGAGCATCCTTTTAGATAAGTGCCTCCGAATAAGAAATCTAATCGACTGGAACCGTAGCCATCCGGATGACATTCTTGAATGTGGTGAAGCATTTGGAGTTGATGTTGCATGGTACCGTTTTGTGAAAGTGAGTTTCTTGTTCATTTTATCCCCATTTCCATATAACTGGAGTTTACAAAAGCCAACCCTGAGGTTTAAATCATATACTGAAATCAGATTACCTTTAAATATTACAAATATCCCTTGGATATTGTTTTTTGTCTTACCAAAGTGCATCTCAGAAAGTGAGTTTTCTTGTAATTGCTCTTTTTATTTTTTATCTTTTAATTTGAACTATGTAGCAATAATTACTCTATCAGCCTTGCCTGGATAAATTTTGGCATCATCCTATGTCATTTCTTTGATGTTTGAGAGAAAAAGAAAAAGAAAAATGAAGTAAAATAAAAAACAAAAAGAAAAAAGAGGAACTATAATTTAATCTTTCAAACGCAGGATTTGCATACCGCAATTGACGACACTGGAAAGACCATCCTTCCTGAACATTTGACCGTGACGGCCAATTGCCTGTCAGCGAGTGGTGAATTCGTGCCGCTAAGTGCTAAAGGATTGTCCAACCAACGAAAGGAAGCCAATATTCATTCACCCTTTGCTCAGGCGTGCTTCTCGGTTAGTAATCATTCATTGTTTTTGTATATTCCATTATATGCATTCCCTTTTAGGAATATAATAACTGGCTTATCTTGTGACGTGGATGACGGAATTCAGAGTCCAAGTGATTGCTTAGTGAAAGCGGCTAAGATGGGACAAAAGGACAGTCTTCAGGGAAGTCTAGAGGCTTTAGCATGGGGAAAAACTCCTTCGGTTGGAACCGGTTCCGATTTTGATATTTTGTATTGTTTAAAGGTATATATCATAATTTGTTTCTGTTGCAAATATCGTATATAGTTGCAATACTCTTGAGGTTTGACTCTGAATATTGAGAAATCACATGTCTTGTGGTTTTTGAGATATTATTATTATTATTATTATTATTATTATTATTATTATTATTATTATTATTATTATTATTATTATTATTATTATTATTATTATTATTATTTTGCTTCTTATTTATGTGTCACAACAATGATATGTACATTTTATGCTTGAAAAATAACTCTCTTATATATAACTGTTTCAACATTGTGGTGCATTAGGAAAAAGGACCAATCAAGCCTAAAGATGTTTATTCTCTGTTGAGCACCCAAATTGGATCTGCAAAACCGATTGATCCACTGAAAAAAGCTTTAGGGGAATCTATTGTGTCCTCTCATTTCAACACGTTAACGCGTAAAGGTTTGTTCACGCAATTGGTCTCTGGACGCTTCACCAAGTTGGGAATTAAGAAAATTTCACAGAGGTTAAAGCGCATGCTGAAAGAGTACGTAAATCCTTTCATACATTTTTGCATTTTACCCGTCATATTTTTCTCCGTGTTAGTAGTATTGATTTCCCATTCGAAATTTGTATAAACTTTTCATAATAAATTATCTTCTGAGGTTTAGCCTAATTATAAAAAAACCGCATTTATCTTTGAAGATCGACGATTATGTGGGCTTCATTGTAATTACATCTTTCTCAAGATGTACCAACTTAGTGTAAACAAAAGAAAGCTCGGGTATCATTCTGAATCAGGGATGGCTCACAGATACTATATCTTTTCACATTCTTGAACATGTTCATGAGTGAAGAAGCTCGTATGTTTGCTTCCATTATGCTGCTTTTCTTTTTATATCATTTGTTTCACTTTCTTTATTATATGTTGGTATAGGTATCCTATGAACTCTACATTGAGAGAACAGGATAAGTCTACTGCAATGAAGGCTTTACATTTTCATCCACGGTATCCTTCGAAGGTCGGATCGGGCATTCTCGATATTAAGGTAAACAAATAGTTTGCATTTTTTTTTTTTTTAGGAAATCAAATCTTCCATTAGATATGTGCCAATTTATCCTCTTTCTTGATTTTATATCATCATCCACTCTGAAAGTTTCTAAAATCTTATCTCCTTTTCTTCAATCGTACTTGCAGGTTGGCCTTCATCCCGACCACAAACAAACCTGTTTTTTCCTCGTGAGAACTGATGGAACTGAAGAGGATTTCTCGTACAACAAATGCATCGATCACGCTTTCGAACTAATAGAGCCCGACAAAGCAAATGCTTACAAGACCAGAAAGGAGGATGTGGCTCATGCTCCTCCAGTTAAAATCGGATAGTTAGTTGTATGTCCCGAAAACAAAATAAAAAAAATTCAATAATTGAAACTATGTAATTTTTTTCTTTTTTTTTTTTTTTTCACAAGTGAGATAAAAATGTCTGTAACTTGGATAGCCCAAGCTTCCTTTTGCAGCTTCCACTATATTTTCTTCGCCTGAGATCGGCCAAGGAGATTTAGTGGAAGTTGCAACGGGAAAGCTTTTAAGGGCTATCCATTTTCATAAGTAAAAAATAAACTAGTTCCTGTTGTAATTTTTATCTGCTGTGCTGCAACTGAGAATCTTTGTATCTGAACAGTGATCAGCCTACAGCAATTGTATAATGTCAAAGCTCAGATCTAAATAAGGGCTTTTTACTCTTCAAGTAATGATATTTTGGATAATAGTTATTGATATCATTTTTTTTTTTTTTTTTTTTTTTTTTTTTTGTTGTAGGGACTTCAAATAATTTGCATGCACATAAGATAGGATTAAATATTATTGCAATAAATTTTTGGTGAAATTTCTTTATCAATTGATAAAAGAATTTAAAATGAGATTTTATTGTTGCAATTTCATGTGTGTAGAGTTTTCATATGGACTGATATGGGTAAAATAAGTTGGTTACAAATTTTGTGGTGGCAAGGACATAAGGTAGATTATTTTTAGCACAAACTTTTAAATTTATATGGAATTATTATTTTAAAAGTTGATTAATAAACCTATTTAAGTTAATATATCATTGTTATAATGTTATTTGTTTTATGAGGAAGTTAGGATCATGCATTATTTTTAATTAGTATTGGGAAATATGTTTATTTAGTTTTAATTATTTATATGTGAAAAAAGGGGGTATCAGCAAAAGAGTTTTTAATTTTTAAAAATAAAATAAAAATATTGGTTATCTACATAAAGGAAGAAAAATTAAAAGGAAAAGGGAAAGAAAAAATAGAAAAAAATAATATAAATATATAAGTATAAAATGTAAAACAACGTGAGAAATTTACACACTTTACATTCCAAACAGAAAATACTAACAAAAGTACGATCTAAAAAACTTTTAATCATAATTACGTTAGTCAATAACTAAAATGGGATTTAGTGCGGTTAAGTTGGCCTAATTAACCGTTAAATGCAATTAACTACACACTTAATTCCTTTGCACTCATCTTGATTTTCGGGAAATGTGATTTACTCTCCATTTTTAAACTCAACCACCTAAAAAAAAAAGCTGAAAATCTCCATCTCTCTCACCAAATCTCGAGAAAAACTCCAAATCTCCATCTCTCTCAAAATCTCCAAATCTCCATCTCTCTCTCCAAAAAAACTTCATATCTCAATTAAAAAACACAATCGCCCGGAAAAAAAAAACAAAAAAAAAAACCTCGTCGCTTGAACCAAACTATCGCCCACAAACCTTCAGCATCAAAAGGACGTCTTTCCGAGTAGTCGTCCAAAGGTGACGGGTTATCCAAAACCCTAGACCTTTCTCCGACGAGCCGTCTCAAAATTCACGTGAATAAGTGTTTTATAATCACGGAAAATAATCGCGAAAAAATAATTGCTAGAATTAGGATGAATCATTTGGTCCAAGTTTGGAGAAGTTGCAGTATGAATAAATGTTGTATAATCATAGAAAAAAAATGAAGAAAAAACATTTGAATTAGGATGAATATATTTATATATATACACATTTACATTCTTAAAATCACCATTCCTACAACGTTAACTATTACCAACAGTCCTGAAAAGACATTGTTAATGACACTAACAAGCCCTTGGCAAACAAAATCGATATCTTCGTCAATGTCTTTATGTGTGATAATGTTTTGTTTATCTACCGTTTATGTTGAGTATAACTTATTATGCTTATGTGTGATATGTGTTATGGAAAAAACGATCGTCCATCCAGTTGTTCATAAAAAAAAAAAAGTTGTGATCCCTATTGGGAATAGAAAAAAATTCGGTAGAGCAAAATTCGGTTTAATCGATATTTTAAATTCGAAAAAAAATCGTTTAACCACCAACTATATGTTTAGATATACTGTATATATACATTAAATAAACATGATCTGACAATTCTCTATTATTAACCGTATATTTATACATAAGATAAACAATATATAAACAATTTTGAAAATTGATTAAACATAACGTTAGTTAAACAGAAAGTACTCTAATCCATTGGATGGTACTCTTCCATTTAAATAAAGTAAATGTGGTGTTAACGTAATTGTATGGCAAAATATATGTGTGCATATGTTAAAGTGTATTTTTAACAAATTATATCCTAAAAGTTATGTTTGCTAACGTATAAACAACATCATATGTTGCGTATATATTACGGATATCCTAAAACATGATATATGCTTTTGTAAACTAAAATATATTACTTGTATTTGTTTACTTATCCCTGTCATTTTTATATACAGAAAATAAACATTAAATAAACAAAAAAAATCAGATAACACATAAACATAATAAGTTATACTGAACATAAACGGTAGATAAACATATATTATCACACACAAGCCATTGACGAATATATTGATTTTATTTGACAAAGATTTGCTTTCTGAGACCAAATATCAAATCAGTGTCCACGCTTTAATTGAAGTATTAAGACACATGAACACTTTTATCTCTGAACGTTTCACCGACCACAATATTAGTATTCATGCATCCATCGACCACTACTCCAACTGTCCTGGAGTTGTTTATTTCTAGTTTATCTTCCGTTTATTTCACTGTTTTCAACATAGCATCTGCAGAATGTTCGGCGAATTTTCTGTAATAACCATCGTCTTCTGAAGCTTCTCGTGCCGTTTCTAGACGTTTTAATGCTGCTATATCACTCGAGGCCATATATTCCTGAAAGTAAACATTTTTTTCTCAACAACAAGATGACCGAACTCTACTGAAACAACAAGAATTAAAAATTTTGCATCTTAATTCAACCAAAATCAAACCAACAACACACAACAAACTCAAATCTTCAACTTTTTACAACCCAAGCTTATAACAAATCAATACAAAAACTTGATTCAAGCTCACGACTCAAAATTTAGCATCAGCTAATCAAGAAACAACAATCCTACGTTTTCACTAGAACTAAAAACATAAAAAAAGGTAACAGAAAAAAAAAAAAAAAACTAACCTAAGTGAGCCCCGACATTCGTCTGGTTACCATAATCACCGCCTCGTTAAACAGGTCACCCGTCGGAGAAGGTCTCCTCAATGAGTGCAACGAATAAATCTTCGACGGTCGGGTGGTAAACAAGAGTCCGGAGTAGGCACGCCGTCGTGCAACCGCCGCGAGAAGATGAAACTTGCATAATGATTTGGGAGAAATTATGGAAAACAATGATTCACATGACAAAGATATTTGGTAATTGATTACGGGTGTAATTGCGTAAGTTTCAGATATTTGAATGACAACCTCTGATTTGTAATGGATGACAATATCCGTAAAGATGAAAATATATTTTCACAAAGTACTTTGACTGATAAAAGATTTTATCAATCGTATTTTTAAAAATAAGTCTTATAATAGACATAGATATGTAAATTTCCCGAACAACGTCATGCCAGGTTCCATTAATTTTGGTGCCATGAGGCCCATGACCATGTTTGAATGTTAACGGATTGATATTAGTGGATGTAACTTCACTTAGAGATTTGATAAAAATTGTTTGGTAAAAATATCTTATTTGATTAGCTTATTTTTTCGTTAGCACAAAACATGAATTCTGAAAACACTCAAAATAGGAGCGTTTTGATAAAAGATCATTCATAGAATAACGTGTCGGCATAATTATTTTCAAAAATGCTACACAATCTGCTATTTATCAAATAGTTTTTTACAAACATCTAATACAACCCGTTAGTCAAATGAGCTATTACAGTTCGCTAGTACACATAGCTATTCGTTGTCAGGTAATTGCTGATAGCAGATTGTATTAGCTGGCTTGACTCGCGAATTCAATTAGTAATTTGTGAAATAAGAGTTTCGTAAATATCGAGAATTTATAGTTGTTACGCTTTATGTTTTTTTTTTTTTTTTTTCAATTATCTCTTCTCAAAATATGCTATCATATTGAACTTTTTTAGAACCAACATTTTGGGTAAAGAAAACTAATCAAATAAAGCTTGTCACTGAATAAGTTAATTAGCGAATTTGATTGATCAAACCTCATATAAAGGTTAAATTTGGTGGCATTTAAACCAATCCTCTAATAAATAGACATAAGTTGTTATAATTACATTACAAACCTTGATTTTCCAAATAATTTATAAAATGATATTTTACTAGTCAAATCAACAATTTTAATCTGATATTACTAATATTGTCATCCATCCGATGTCAACTAATGCAAAAATAAGACAACAAGTTAATCATAGTTCTAATTAATAAATGCTACAGTCCGGTATATAAAACTCTAACAATAAACTGCCACATCACTTTTGTTTGACTACAGGATGTAAGAGTCTATGAGTATTACTCTCCTACCCACGGTGGACACATGTTAATATGTCCACCACCAATGTGGCATGCCACATTGGTGATGTATTTTTTTGAACATTTTAACATCACCAATGTGTGTATGCCACAAAAACGGTGAACATATTAATATGTGTTCATCGTGGGCAGGTGAGCATTATTGAATAGTCTATATCAATACTAAAAGATCTAATGACTGAATTGAGGAACTATTCCCACTAACCTTTCCCTTAATTAATAGGCAAAACTGCATCAAAATGCACCACCTTCTAACTTTTTGCAATTTAATCACCACCTTTCAAAGTTTGCAACTAAGTACACCAGCTTTAGACATTTGGCAAATCGAAGCATGTCAAACGGAAACCGACACCTGCTTTCTTACGTGGTATCCTCGGAAACTCACGTAGAAATCAAAAACACACGTGGAAGTCCAAAAATAACAAACAAAAAACTAAAATGCCACAAAATCAATCTATCTGGCATATTTGCTAAAATAAAATCAAAACTAAGTAGCTCCTCA